GTCAACGATTGTCTAAAGGCTGCATACACATTCGCGTGTGACAGCATGCCCAAATTCTAAAATCTAGTCCAAAAGGAACTTGACCGAGTGGCCACTTGGTTCACTATGTGGAACCTATAGTTCAACCTAGACAGTTTTGATTGGTTGGGCTTTAATATTAATAATAATAATAGTAATGATAATCGCTTTATTCCAGACAATATATATGATAGTATGAGATTTCCAGCATGTGACCTATCAACAAATTCATTCCAGGGACAGTACTTGCGAACAAAATGGCTATTACACCTGAATTGCGTTAATAATCACAGTATTTAGGGCAATAATGTGAAGTGGCCAGCTGGATCGGGCTGAGGTTCTGTTCACAATGAAGGATCCGCAGAGATACAATGGTGTGTTTAGTGGTGGCAGTACGAAAATCCCAACTCAAGCGTATCATTTTCCTTCTGATAGACAGATTCACAATGCAACCCCTGCATTGCGATCATTTCAATGGTTCACGCCAAATTTATGGCTCCAAACGGGTTTGTATCTGGAAATGTTGGCTCTACATCCCGTTTGTATCCAAACATACAGGTTATCCAACTAATAACGGCCACTCACTCCACAGCAAAGAAACCGAAACTGACCTCACCTGGAGCGCCAACCTTGAGAACACATTGAATGGTTTAATGATGAAGCCCTACATACCGTGAGCCGTATAATGACAACAGTCCCTGGATTGGATTGCAAATTTAGCATAATTTGTTCCAATGAACTTGTCTTCAACGACATAATTTTAAACAATCGACACATCCTGCATGATACCGTGTGATACTGATCCCAAGCTTCATCCTTGGTCCATACCAGGATTCAAATATAGTCTGTCTGTAAGCGGCAAAACTCATTAAAAATCCTCGTTTTCCGGCTTTGTTACGCTCGGCGTTTGATGTTCGATGTACTTTTGCTGTTTGTGAGACTCGTTAACTGAAGTGTTGAGGCTTGATCACATCCGCCTGTTTAAAGCTAAGGCTGAATGAAAATACCTGTGTTACGATTCACCACTGCTATGTAGTGAAAGGACTTTTATCTGATATTTGTGACCATGAGAATAATTGCATCATCTGTATGGTGTGTCGATTTATTCTTTCTGAGTTTTCTCAGCCTCACCGGGAACAACAACATTCAGATGGTGCCTGTAAAAACGGCAAGTGTTCATATAGTGTTTTATTCGAATGTGTATGTCAATATTGTTGAAATAAGTATCTGGCGTATGGGAAGATGATGTTCTTTTCTGCACGAGGAGGTGTACTACCCTATAAAGTGACATTTTTTCTCCGCTTTGCTATAGAATCCAGAAACGGAGGGATCGAAATAGTTTACAAGTGTGCAAGGGAAAATGAAGCATTCAAAGAATGTGTTCAAATGATTAAAGCAAACTGAAGGGAAGGAATCTGAAGGAAGATGTTGGGTGGATAATATTGGCAGCTTAAGGTCCAAACAGGCCAACGTCGTTGCCTCCCGTTCATCCACACTAATCTCTGAAAGCTTTGATGGTTCCTGGTTTCTGTAGTGTTCTTGACCCGGGGATCAGTCACTTTGATGACTTCGAAATCTCTGAACAGTTTGCGTTACAGACTTGGGGGCCAAGGATCTTGCTAAGTTGCATAATTCGTAACTTCCAAGCTAAATTTTTGCCGAGCAAGACTTGTTTCTAGCCCATATTAGAATACTGCTAGTTTGTTTTAGGTGGTTTTTGTGTGTATGGCAAAATTAGGGACGAGGGTGCCCAGAGGTATTATTGCAAAAATGTAGCAAACCGCAGATGGTTGCTCAAAATATGCACAAGAAACCAAAGGACATATATAATTGGGTAAAGGCGATTGGCAAGAGTTTGTATGAAAGAAGAGAGGAGCCAGGGTTATACTGGGTTCTTTCAGCTGCCTAATGTAGTAACCTAGGCGTAAGATTCTGTTAGGGATCACCAATATGTGGGAGGAACAGGAAACATATGGATGAAGGAGCACACTTGGGTAAATCACACTCGTAGTTTTCTCTACCGGGTAGCCATCAGTAGGATCGGGGCCATAAGACTTATGAAGTTCACGTGGGCTATGTTCAAGTCTGAAACTGAAGTTTATGGTCCGACTATTTGATGAACCATGCATAGGACCATTCACGGAGGATCGATGTCCCATACTAGGTAAGAAATAGTTCAGCCTAGGAAATTCTGTTAAAATGAGGCAGGTATGGAAACTAACAAGCCGTCAGCTTATGCGATAGAAGTGACGTTACCTGAAGATGGTATGTCGTACAGAAAGAAAGACAAAAGACCGGAGCAAGAAGTACAGCTTCAGGGGGGCATCAGCCCCAGCAAGCAATGAAGTGGATCGATCCCTTCGTTCAACGTAATATTGTTTCCTTTCAGAGAGAGCAGGAAACCCGGGTGATTCTCCAGGGCCCAGCATATGTCTCAGCTGGCTTGTCCAGCAAAAGAAGTCTAGGACTTAATTAAACGCTGAAGTGCAGTCAGAAAAGTCATACCTGACATAGGATAGTGATTTTGTTTGCGAAGTGATCACGATCTTCTAAAACCTTCAATGAGGGCTCAAGAGCGGGCATCCCTCATGATGCTTCCTCCTTTAAAATTTGTGTGGATGCATTAAGCGATCAGAGAATATAATGAACTGATTAAAACAGAGAGAGGTCTGGAAAACGTTGGTGCAATATGTGAGATGGAAAATTAAGTAGTCCAGATATCTGAGCAGTCAGCAAATGTTATATTCTACGTTGCTTTAGTTAGTGTTGTACCTAAGGCAGGTGACAGACACTTGACCACCAGCCTTATCTTAGGTCACGTTACTATCCTTGTTGCCGAGGCATCGGATATGGTGTTACACGATAAGGTATTAAAGCCTTCTGAAAGATAATATGCTGACGCTGGGCAACATAGCCTCCTGCCTACTCTTGGCCAAAGACGATTGAGTTACAGTTAAAAGTAGTAAATTCGCTGTGGACGTCACATTTGTTGACTTTGGCAACGATTTCGATAAGTTATCCCACTAATCTTCAGGAACTCTTTTTTGACCATAGGTTTCAGGCGTAGCGCATCAACTGTCAGCTCAACAAGAGGCAAAGAATAGGAGCGAATGGAATGGTAGGGCCACTAGCATGTTTTCCACGGCGCTGCTATTGTTCCGCTACTTTTCCCTCTCTGCAGTAACGAAATAAAACTGTCTAAGCAATGAGGCCTGAAAGCGATTCCAGCCAAAGTGTGGCAGTGCGAACTGGCAGCGACCACTGTGACAAATAGTCGACCAACACCCCACGTTTGGGAAGCGGGAGTTAGGGGTAACCTTGAGCCACGACCTGTAGATAACTGTACGCTGTGATGCCTCTTTGGGCCAGGCCCTGTGCATGATTCGATCGCCTTGTAGTTTGTCCAAATGCTTTGATGAAGATCTGTTTAAGATTATCTACTCCACTCATTAAAGACCACTTTTTGATTAGGGTATCCAAGCGTCCAAACAGTGCTTCAAAAAAGACCAGAGACTACAATAATTCAGAGTAGCTGCTGTTGAACGAGACAACGATCCTACAAATCTTTCCTTTGGATAGCGGTTGAAAAAGCTAAATCTATCTCATATATTTCATAGAAAAGAGTTCGTATGTTTTTTGCCTTTCATATGTTGGACACATAGATTCGCCTAATCTCTTCACTAGGAAGGGTCTCTTAAGAGGTCATCATAAAAAGATCCAGAGGTGGTGGTTAAATTGTCTTTTTTTGAAGGCTCATGTCACCTCGTGGAATGATCAACTATTCAAACAAAGGATATTACCTCCTTCGATGAATACAGTCAATAAAAAACTGTACATTTATAAGGGTGATTACTGCAAGCATTAACACAGGCTACTAGTCAACTATCATTTACTATGATAGCTGAAGGTACCGTTGGGGTGTTGGACAAAAGCAGCTTCTGGCGGGTATTATCTCAATGTCGCAACTACGTTTTGTAAGGTGACCATGAATGTAGTGAGGATTAATGGCGTGAAGGTTTACAACTTGACAGCGAACCGTGCCCTTCCAGAATGGGCATCCAAGTCTGAAAAGCGAAAAAAGAAGCTAGATGGAGATTTAAGCCGGCGCATTGAACTGATTCAAGAGTTGGAAATGCCGGATTCAACTACATTCTTAACTTGTTCCCCGGATGGTCATTATCTGTTTGCTTTGGGTCGCTACAAACCACGAGTAAAGTGTTACGAATTATCAAATTTGTCAATGAAGTTTGACCGTTGCCTGGACTACCTGCCATACAAAATCGTGTGTCTCAGTGACAACTACTCTAAATTCGCGCTTCTAGAAGAGGAAAGATGGGTTGATGTTCACGCTGCAGGAGGTCATCACTTCAAGTTTAGAATCCCTAAGCAAGGCGTCGACTTGGATTATTGTCCATACACATGCGATCTGTTTGTCGCATCTTCACGCAACCATATTTACAGAATGGATTTGTCCGAAGGTCGCTTCAAACCTCTTTGATTTCTTCTCGTATGGAAGGCACCAATCATGGGTTTACTGCATGTAGATTTGAGAAAAACTATGGCCTGGTACTTGGTGCATCGACAATTGGCTGTATTGATGGATGGGATGCTAGATCTTCCGAACATGTGTTTGCGTTAAATGTCTGCAAATATGCTCCACCCCCTGAAGGTATTCAAACTAACTGGCGCTCAGCTGCTGTTACTTGTATGTCTCTGAAAGACTCTCTCAATGTAGCAGTGGGCACCAGTGATGGTATGGTCTACATTTACGATCTACGCCAAACCGTACACCTTGGCACTGTCGAGACACTGAGTACAGAGAACCTGTAAAGTCTATTCATTTTCATGATGACAAAGTGCTAGCTGCCTTACGTTACTGTTGTAAGATATGGACAGTAGATACCGGTAAAATATTTGTTGGCTTTAATATTGGTCCAGCGGAGTGCAATTCCATGTATCATTTTCAGAATAGTGGGTTGCTGATGCTTGCCTCTGAGTCCCCTAAGATTTCAACCTATTTCATCCCACTGCTTGGAGAAGCTCCATTCTGGTGCAGTTATTTAGATAGTCTTGTAGTGGAGTGTGAACCGGATGTTACAACTATGTATGATGGTTATAAATTTATCACTCGCCAACAGCTCGCTGACTTGGGAATGTCAGAGCTTATTGGGACCCAGTTCTTGAGAGCCTATATGCATGGATATTTCATTTCTGCACGTCTTTATAATAAAATACAAGATCATCTTGGAATTTCTCAGAAGCCACTCACCTCTGTAGCCAAACTCAAATCCTTTGACCTTCAGCCGAAATCTGTATCACGTTCAGAAAATATAATTGCAGAGTTCAATGAAGCTTCCACTGATCAGCGTTTCTCTAAGCTCACTTATAATCCGAAACTTACATTGAGCGCAACAGATGAGGATTCAGATCTTATACAAATTCATCAAGCAAGATTAGAAAAGAAACGTAGGCGTAAAGAACTACGGAAAGAACGGGCTGCTCGTACTCAGTCACTGATAACAAAAGTCTCCAATGAACATATCTGAACTCCAAATGTCATATGTCTGCTTATGTAAATAATAATCGTTACAGTGATTACTTGTTTTTTATTTTTCTATTATGCTGATGACATAGTTCATAGAGTGTTTTTTTTCAGTATGAATCGAGGTCGACGACGTGGTGGTGGTCCAAGTTTGTCGGGCCTACGAGATGGAGTAAAACGACGCCTTTTGATCCCCACTCTGTCCCGACGAAACCTGATCCTAAGTTCGAAGTTAGCCGTTTAATACCGTTCACCGTTCCTAAAGTTGTTATCAATTCTTCTTTAAATGGTTGCAGCGCAGATAACAACTCAGATGTGACAAATACTGAATTTGGCAGTCTGCAGATGAACTTGGTACGTGTTGCGTAGTTTTACCGTCATATAACTTTCATATTTTCTCGTTCATGTCTTGTACGCATCATTCAGTGTTCACAAAGTTTAGTTCATATCTCATCTTTTTGATGTGTATCTCCTAATACTTTTGTTGGCACCTTTCTCTCATTTAAATGACTAGTTTCTTAAGGAAGCCTTTGCATGTGTTAGCAGCATAAGACTATATTTTAAGCCCTCGTTTAGTTTTTGTGACTCATTCTACGAGGGCGTAAGGATCTTTTAATGAATAGGTTGCAATCATTGTGATAACTAACTCGGATTAGGTTTAGCTTTTCATGGGTTAAAGTAAAACGAAATCGATTGACTTTGAAATGTAAAGAAACTCCTCATAGTTGCTATTGTATAATTGCTGGTACGAGTTCAGTTGGTATTAATTTCTCTATCATTGTTTCCAGGTTTTATTTTATGTGTTGCAACCATCAGAGCAGAATTTTAAAGAGCTGTGCCTCATTTATTTAGGCACTCAACTTTCTACCAGTGGATCATAAAATCAAATTGCGCTCCACCTACACCTACCGAGTTCTATGCTCCCAGGTAGCATTATTGTCTAACACTAGACATGGTTCATTTCCTACTGCACGGTCATGTGCATGGTCTTTGATTTGGATTTCCCCTCTCAGAGCTGATGTAAATGATAGTTATAGCCTTGCTTCATTTTCCATAAAGTTTGAGAACTGTGAGATACTAGTTACATAACCTAATGTCCAGATGTCAGTCAAAATGAAAGTAGGATCCAGCATTAATGACTGACGTTCCATGTCGCTACACCTAATTTCAGCATATCAAATGAGAATGCATTAAGTTGAAAGCTAGGGAAATAAGAAAGGAAATAGTCAAACGTGGTAAAATTTATGAAAAGCGAATAAGAAGCGATGAGATAGTTGTGAAATTCAGTATACCAATTATAGTGTGCGAATATATCTGGACCATTGTGAGCAATTACGACCGATATCACCTAGTTTCCAACAACAGCAAGTTCACATCTCTCTGCACTGTTCAAACCAAAAGTCAGAGACCTTATGGACTGATACCATGATTTAGTCTAGCCTCCCCTAGGTTTTTCCAGCATACTTTAGCTAACATTACGCGACGAGGCAGACGGAGACTAGGCATGCGTAACACATGTTCCAGTTGCCTGATTTCATAAAGATTCATAACCCCATTGACTGACTTATCTTTTCTTCCAAAACTTTACATCTGATTGATGCGTTACCGATATAGTAGCACCACGACAGAGCCTGTGGTAGAGTCACCGGTGGATAGACACCTGAAGCCCTCCTATGTCCTCTGCGTATAATAGCCATGTTTCAAGGCTATGAAGCAGATTCGAGTGAATTACGACCTGATACACTTGGTCCTTAATAGGTAATTGGATATCACGTCGATACCATGGATAATAGCTTAATTTGATGAAAACCAAGTAAGTGTTTTGTGTCCGTGTGAAGATCTCCTCTGTAACGAAATTGTTGCAACTGATTCCACTTTTCAAGCGAGTTGAGACGTCAATGACTATAACTTCCCTACTGTTTATCTTTCGACAAGTTATATACGCAGATCAATGCTGAAGCAATAATTTGCAGCCAACGCCTAACTCGAGCCCGAGAACAGCAAACTCGAGAAAACCAGGCAGCTTTCAGACCTGAACGAGGGTGCATCGATCACATCTTCACCCTACGACAGGTTCTTGGACATAGATTTACCTACCGGTGGTCGACGCTTGCCATATTTCCTGACCTGAAGACGACATTGAACTCTGTCGACCCGTGAGGTGTTGTGGAAATGTATGACTTTAGAAGCAGCACCCAGCAAGTATTTAACGCTAATCAAACCTTTCTACTCGAACTCATTAAGCCGTGTAAGGGTTTATGGGTAATTTTCATCAAGATTGACGACAACGAATGATGTTCACCAGGGATTAGGTTGAAACAGGGTTTCAGGATGACCAGACCAAGACCTGGGACCAGTCGATAAAGTCTCTTTCTACTGGTCTGAATCGTGTGAAGAGATGTAGACTAGTCTGTTTCGGGTCGCCGAGACGAAGAGAAGATATGGTTGAGGACTCTTGGTGACATGGCTAGAAATCGGTCACAATGGCCCGAATATATCAACCTTTGACACCTAAAGATTAAATATTCGCACTAACTGCTGTCTTCAGATTGTTTATTCTCTCTCACAACTCTGTTTACTTTGATATCACTCTTTTTATACTAAGGTGAAGTGTAGTAACTCGAGCCAATGAACTTATGCCCGAGGTTCTACATTGATTTAGTCTGTCTATGTCTCTCCGTTCAAACCACCTCAATCAGTGAAATTTCACAACTCCATCGACCGCATTCCCTTTCTAGCATAGCAATATTCGCCTAGTCTCCACATTGTTCACACAGCGATTTCATCGTACATGAGCAGTGCTGCTAAGACATGTGTAAGCAAACGTGTAATCTCCCAATATCTTCTGCTTTCAAGGGTCATGTCTCAGCCGTATAACGGACTGCAGCGCAAAGTACTCGTCTTTTGATAGATAGCCGGGTATCTTGCCGGCGACACAGGTGATACAAGTTGGTAAACACCAAACAGGCCTTTTGTATCCGAGCCGAGATTTCGGCAACAAACAGCCTATTCGGCCTGATGCGATTCGCTAAGGAAGTGCAGTTGATCTTGATGTTGCTGCGTTATTGGAGGTAAATAGTTTATTCGCGAATCAATATCTTTCTAGACAAAAGCAACAGCATTAACAAGGGGTGAATTATCAGGATTTTTCCATCAGCGATTTAGTAACCTCTTGTGATGAAGTGGCATGTGGTGGGTAGTATTAAATCTTCAGCTTCAGTAGAAACAATCCAATGACGCACAAAATTAATTGTCCATAGACTTATTCAAAAGGATCAAAAGCCTACTGTTTCCAAACCATCACATGGAGGGTTAAAGAAAATTACTTGGTGACTGTCTTACTCATAATGGTTATTCACACAACTTCATCAGATTTTGGTCCAATTTCCCACCAAATGAGAAGTCACTTCAGGAAACTAACAAGTAGATTACCCCACCATATATGCTTGTTTTCCGATTTGCCATGGAGTTCAGACATTGAAAGCTTCATTGTGACATTGGCTGTGCAGTTTCAAGAGACAAGGAATGGCACTTTGATGGTTTGGAGCGTTAAAAATAATCACGGGATGAGATGTTGAGCAAGTTGAAACAGGATCAACATTGGAAGTGAAGGCAAGGGAGTGGACAGAGATAAAAAAAAGTCAAGGTTTATTGAGTTTTGGAAACCGCTGGAAGCGAGTGGGCGGCTGGTTTTTCTAGGCTGCACACACCGCGTAAGTTGCTTCTGCTAAGTACATGAAGGAGAAAAGAGATTTCATTACATGGGTACAGAGCCCATGGGATATCTGCTTCAGTCTGATCAAACGGACTTTTCGGGAACCTGAGTTTTATCCTCTTTTGATTTGCATCCAGCTGGGAAACCGACATCACAGGCACAAGAATATCATAGTACAGAGAGGAGTATGCTACTTTTCGGATTGATCTTTCCTAAACCCTCTTTCCCATAGGTGAGACAACATTTGCATGATACTGCTACTCGTCTATGGAAAACGATTTGCTGCTGCTATGTAGTGCGACTTCACCCTTAGAGTCATCACAACGTAGCTATCCAGCAGATATTTCTGGTATGGTAGGACGTCAAAGAGATAGATACGTGATTTAGATTTATTTTATCAGCATAACTCGTATCATTGTGACATGTAGGCCTGACCGGCACGTGAAGGTTGAAAAGTATCGAAAGGTATTCAGCAACCGCGGGCATGCTCCTGCAGTGAGCCACACCTATTGTGTGACGAGTCTGTCTACATAAACATCAGTAGGTGGTGGTGAGGAGGTTTCACTCATAACTCCACCCTCTTTCTTGTAGGAAGGCAGTTTTAGCATGGACTGCTCACCAGATACCCCAAATATCTTGCTACCATCACGCAGCATCCAGCAAGCAGTTGAACTTTTGCCTCAGACTCTCACTGTGGGGTAAACTATTAACATCATGAAGTTATCTGCTTTCAGTTTCATCACTGCAATAAACGTTTCTGGCTTGGTAGGTCATAAGGAAACATAATACAATAATCATATCTTGTCTGGTTATTGTAGTTTGCCTACAAGCCAAGAATCACCTAATCGAGTTTCTGCTTGAGTCTTTGGAAACGTTTATGTATTGTTTACTTTGAGACCACTGTATCGTATGAAATTTCCACCTTATTTTATTGTCCTTTTTCTTAAGTTTGAGGTGACAGCTAAACTAGAAACTGCTTTTCGCTTGGGCCCATTTTACCACCCAGTCCCAGAACTGTCCGAAGGAATTAATATATCTCTATTAACATCGAGTAACAACTTAAAAGTCGGAAACAAGACACCAAATATGGTGTCCCTGTTGCATCTTTTGGTTGCTCATGATGAGGTTAATCAGTGGTCAGATGAAGACATGAATATGAAGGAACCTGATGATTGGTAAGTCATCATATTTACTAATGTGACTGAACCTTGACTACATTCCAACATTTGTTAACCACTTTAACTGGGATTGAAAATGGTTTTTTTGGGATTGTCCGAATTTATATTTATTTCGGTGATTCAGTAAAAAGTATTCAAGGAAATTTACGAAGTTTACAGGAGTATATTGTTAAAGATTCCTTGCAATAATCCTCTAGCAACACTAGGTTTTCAAGTGCGACTGTCTAGAAACATAGTGTTTCATCGTTATTTCGAATATCTGCGCTGTTGAAATGACAGACATTTTCTCAACAGTTGATAAGCTTCTCTGTATGATAAAGACTCTATTTACATTCTTAAGTCCCTTAATTTGGGCCATCTACTTACTGTTATGGTCTGCATTCGTTAATCATTTGAGTGCAGTTTCTGTGTGCTGAACGTTAACATGTAGTGTAGGAATTTAAAGTCAACTATCTTCAAAGGATATTTGCAGCTAAAATTAACCATGAGTATGTTGAGCTGTGGCTCATTGACTAAAACACTCGACTTGCAACTGGTCGATCAGTGCTTCGAACCCCGATCCACGTACCAAGATCTGTGTACCCAGAAAGTATCACCAACCTTTAAACTCTAGGTGGAAGTGCTTATAGTTACTGAGTGCCCTTGTTCTCCATTTTGCAGACAGATGGAGAAGTGAACGTAATACTTCGCAAAACCGTGCATCGGTTCACAATAGTTTGCGAAAAGTAAGTGAATAGAAAAAGACATAGAGTGGGTAAAAGTGTATAAGAAGAAAGAAAATCATAGAAAATGAAGGTTGGTGAAACTAGTCAAATTTCAGATGTCAGAGTAACAGCATTTGCGCCATCGGAACCGTTTTTCAGTCATGCCAGCAAGCGCCTCCAACCGTTTATTTCAATTATTTCGAGGACCCCAACCAGACAGTCAACACCTCTATACACGAATTACACCTGCTGTCCGAGGCTTCATGGACTGGTGTACGTCTTGGCCTGGTCACTCCGAGCCTCATATCAAAGTAATCCAACTTCTGCCGACATCACACATTGAGATAGGTGGTAGCTAGACAAGGGTAACATGTTTTCAAGCCACCTTATTGGGTGACGGTTCACAACTTCATCAACTTTCCTGGATTGCCTAGTATTATTTGCCTAATTTCTATATTGTTTGCGCAGTGATTCTACGATATGTAAGCAATGCTGTGAAGGTATGTGTGTTGGAAAACGTGTAATCTCTTCATTTCTTCTGCTTTCAAGGAGGATATCTCACAGTCCTATACCAGGACAGAGCCAAAGGCAGGCTTTTAGATACCTGCCTGTTGGAAAAGGTTCATGGATTTATGGAAGGTACAAGACATGTATCAGCGAAGAAATATTTCTTTTCAATGGCTTCATTATCAAGCTGTACAATCGTATTTATACTCGGTAAAGTGACAGATAATTGCACTAAAAAGTTGTTCAGTCAATATGCAAAATATATAATAGGTGTGGAATAGGTGTGTGGAAGAGATAGAAAATGGGTCACTGAATAAGGAACGAATTGATAACAAGTGGTGAGATAAGAGACAAGTGTTGTCAAAGAAGTGTAAAACGGTGATAATTGAGCTGAAACATGCGAAATAGGTCAATGAATAAGGAATAAATTGATATCAAAAAGTGAAATATGGGTCAAATGTTGTCAACGAAGTGAAAATCGGTGATAATGATGATAATAAAAGAGAAGTATACCAAAGTGAAGTGAAATAAAATTAACAAAATCAACAAAATGATTTGTTAAGGCTAAGGGAGAGAAAGTGGTTTCACAAAACGTTTTTGAATGCAAACGTTCGGCTTTTGTTCGTATATAGCTAGTGCTTCAGCTATGGATAAGTGGTAGAAACGTAAACCTTTGGAGTAGTTCCATTTGACTTTGTAAATTATTTTAAAGGATGAATGTCGAGGTGCTGAGTGACCTAATTCAACAAGGTGTTTTTAGCGCAGTTATCCGTTACTTTATCGAGTATAAATACGACTGTGCAGCTTGGTAATGAAGTCGTTGAAATATTTCTTCGCTGATACATGCCTTGTTCTTATTTATGAACAGGTCCAAATACAGATGGCCGTCATGGTTTAGAAATTATTTGCACTTTGAAAGTTTTGTTCGGATCCAATGCAAAAAGAATCTAGTTAGAACCCTTTAGTAGAGCTAAAAATTTTTTTTATGACAGGACGATTGAATACAAAACGATCACTTATCGAAATACAGATATCCTGAAAGATTCATCAACAAGCACGCCGAAAATTCAGGTCATCAGATTATCTTCATAGCTCTAAAAAGGCAATGTGCATCAATCTTCCACTTACAGGAGACGGTGTTCATGATATAGTCAGACGAAGGCTCGATGCACTCCATGAGAAAAAATTACTGTTTCTTAGCGCGACAAAGCAGGTAATACAACATTCTGGGAAAGACGAAAACATTCATCGTCGTCACTTCCAGCTGCTTATATGAATTCAAATACCCTTATGGAAGTAAACACGTGTCTTACGGAGAGGCGGCTGTCTTTTTGTTTGGTTGATTGTTTGCCTAAATGATCAGTTCATTCTGAAATGAAGATATCAAGAAGTCCTCTAACAAATCACCTTATACAGACTTTGAGCATGGAATCAACCTTATCAAAGAAACTGCTTGGAATCGTAGAGGTCTGTGTGATTCGGTTTCATAAACCAACCCTTTGGTGGTGGTAACTCTTAGTTTGCCGTGGTAACACTTTTAATTACTGTGAATTCGATGATAAATCTACTTTTTTGCTTATCAACATTATTATTAGTCAATTAGTTTTGTTCTTATTTTATTCCTATATCCCATACTAACTTAATGAACCGATATATTACTAGTATTCACATCTTAGTGGCCTAACAACCATTTCATTTCCAATGGCGTAATTTAACTTTAGTCTGTATAAGTTTTCAGTTAGTTTCCACAACCCTACCCATCTTTTTACACATCTGCTTAACAATGTTCGAAATATACTTATTTTGTTAAGCCTTATTCATGGACCTAGGTTGAAACGCATATGTGTATCTCACCCTGTAATACCTTATGGTATATATACTTAAGTATGTAGAGCATTCAGCTGAGGGGTTCTATCAAAATAAAACCCTGCTTCCCATGGACTTGCTGTTTCATTAAAAACAATCTGAACAAAGAATTTTATCTTCAGTAGATTCTCATCAGTTCTACAATTATAAAATCCATTTGTACAGCGTAAGACAAAACAAGTTTCAGCGGATACATGTTCAAAATGCAATGAGAGTTAAAGACTGTAAAGAAATCGATTTTTCATTTTAAATTAGTTAATATTTATATGAAATATATGCAGATGAAGAGTGTGATGGTAAGAGCAAAAGCAACAAATAAGGAAGACAGAAGTGGCCTTTATTTTATTGGAGGTTACAGACGGAATAACGTTTAAACCTGCTTTTTCTGGATCCAAAGTTCAGGTTTGATCAATCTTATTGTGACAGTCTCAGCTATGTTGAATGGAGGTTGACCAGCTAAACGTGGTATTGTTTTGGTGCACGATATATGACATTCAAAGTTCTGTTCACATCTGTGTGTTACGCTGTGTTTACTAGGTGTACTAAGAACTTTTCACCAATTTCACTTCGCCTTTTCCAAACCAAGCCGGTAAATGTTCTCGTATCCGCAGACGCACCTACTTAATTGTAATCTTATGTAAATTGTTCCACTGAAACAGTTAAATTGATATATGCACCCTGAGGAGCTAATATTAATTAGGTTATCCTTTAATCTCGGATTGAGCACTGACCGACTACTGAAAGATATTCAAAGACAACCTGGATAAAACGTCATGTGGAGGGTCCCTCTTGAATTGTGAGCACAGAAACAAAGGCTTATCCACTGTCATCAGTTTTCATCTGGGATTACTGTTTGCTTTGGTGAACTTTTCAGCGCATCAGTTTTCATCTCGAATTTCATGGATACACATTAGATCTTTTTTCACACTCCTTCGAACAAATCCATCTTACTGTGAATGCTAGGCACCTGATTATATTACGTTCTCACGTCATCGACACGAAGCTAAGAAAGTGTGTATATTTTCTGTATACACTCCCATCCTCTTTTCTTGTCATTAGGACCTCAAGAAATGTTGTTGTTTGTTTTAAATTTGTATCAGAAAAGTAATGTTTTTGATACTAAGGTAGACGCAAGTAAATGAGAGTTAAGCGCATAAAAAGTGTATGTTGATGGAAACACTCACTACTTAGAATGCGACAAAGTGAATACGTTCGCGTTATTCTAACATATTTTCAACCTTGTTACAAAGAGTTTTCGACCACTGATTCTTATTGTCCCTAGGACCCAACCAAGTGACCTACACTTGACACGTTTCCTAAATAAGTTGGTTTCACCACCAAACCACTAGCTGCTACACTATAGTGGCTGTCAGGCTAACATATCACAATGACCTCTTCTCCTAAAACTCTACAACTGATTTCTGCGTTACTCGCATGGTGCTACCACGACATATGGCCTATGGTACGAAGGCGACGTTGGTCGAATATCTGAAGTCTTCTCATTTCCACTACCTTTAATGACCGTGTACAACAACCATACAGTAGAACAGAGCATACTGCAGCACAGTACACTCGACCCTTAATAGACAGTCGGATATTGCGATAGCACCACAGATGTCGCAAGTTAGCAGAAGCTTTTTGTATGCACCCAGAGATTTTCTCGGCCACTACCCACCAAAGTTGACTCAACTTCCCAGGTAAGAGAAGTGTTGAAAGCAATCAACCACTTTACTCCTTACTCTTAGCAGGGCCACTACTTAGGACCAATCCTGTGGCAACAAGTTGCATTTGGATGGCAAGGAACGCATCCCAAATATTCTTAAATTGCAACTCACGAATTCCAGAAGGATGACTATGTATCTTATTAGTAACTTCACCTAACAAGACTATCATCTGCGATTTCTAGATATACCGAAAAATTCTTTTGAGTTAAGATTAGGCTTTGTGAAGTCAGAGGATAAGAAGGAGACCTCCGTATATACGTTAATAATACAACTGAATAAGAATGGAGACAGTGGGTAGCCTTGACAAACGCCACTCGATGTACAAGGCTCGAACACGTCCACAGGTATTCTAGTAAAAAGCCTTCAACAGTGTTGTATTTAACCGGCACCCATTTTAGTGAGAGTCAACACGATCGAACCTATCGATTACCGCAGTCAAATGCCCCAATTACCTCAAGAAATAGAGCTAGTGTTGGGCCCGGCAAGTGTGCATCTGTTAAAAGGAACTGGCTGAGTGTGACTGTATGGTTGATACACTCAGGCACAGGAATAAATCTAACATTATTTTCCAGATTTTGCAGCTCCCGAGTTACACTAAAGTTTCCCGAAAATAAAAAGAAATTAGTATTTTAGACACTATGTTCATCAGGCTGCTTCCTCTAAAGTTAACACAATAGTTATAGTCTTGCCAGAAGACCACAACAGTGAGTGATTAAGACCAGCCAGAATGCATCACATCTAATTGCCATGCTCTTCTTACCACTTTAGTTACCGTTACCAATAACCCGCGACCACCGGCCTTAAATACATTTGGCCCTGGTGCACTTCCTTGTTTCAGCTTACCTACTGCTCTCTCGACTTCTGCAGGTGTTGTTCCACACAGCATCCAGCTGGATAGAGAGTGACGGTATGGTAGGTGGAGTCCAGTTGAACTGTACTCAAAAGTGTTCCGACCAACGTTTTAGTCAACTCCTTTGGGAGTGAATCGCAGACACGTCCTTCTCTCTTATTCCAGAAAACATTGACTCTTCTACTCCAGTTTTCTTGATCAGTTCAAACAGGCGTGTAGTGTTATCTATCGACGCGACCTTTTGCATCATTTCACCATTCACCACCCACGATTCCTCGCGGTCGTTGTGGAAACTTCTCATCAACCGAAACTTGAGTTGCTTCCACTCTTCACTGTACAACGAGGCTACGTGAATGCTGTCGCGTGCATTTCTTAATCCAGAAGAAACCACCTACGTATTCTCGCCCCTGAGAGTCAGTCAAAGTCTTCAACGCCGTTTGACAGCAGACAGAAGATGGCAACAGACTTCATCAAAATAAGTGGTTCTGTTCCATTCCAATAACTGTCTAGCCAGTTTCTCACTGGAAGCAGCCTTAGTAGTGGTTTTGTCGTTGTCGTTAACCTGCGTCCAATTCTACGCGAACGTACTTGTACTGGGACAAACGTGTAAACACAGTCTAAACACGTGCACCAGAAGGAGCAGCTGTCTTTCACCGGTCGATTCTCCTCAACAACAACTGATACCAATACAGTTTATCTGTGTCCATTGCTGAGTTGAGGTTGGTGCATCCCATGACAGACAATATCTCTCTTCATGTCTCATGTCTGTGCTGACCAGAAACAAATGGTTGTCTGAGTACGGTTGTAGCAGTTGGTCTCCGTTGTCTGCTGGTTGGGCTGGGATTCTGAAAGTCCCACCTATCCATGTACCTTTCTGCCTGACTTCGCCTAGCCACTCGTGCACTGAAATCACCTGCAACAAATACCACGTCTGAACGTTTGGGTTTCAGTAGGAGGCTAGACAGTTTTCGGCAGAACTCATTTTTCACTTCATCGGAACTGCAGTCAGTGGCTGCGTAAACAGAGGTTTAAAAAAGATAGTGGCAAGTTTCACCATTGTTTTCAATCTCCACTGGACTGCTCATTCAAACAGCGCATAGTAGAAAGTCAGCTGGCATCTAGTTGAGCAGCTAACTTTCCGTCTTCAAAGCTCTAATTGTGGAATTCGGATCGCGATTTCAGACCAGGGATGCTATTGCTTAAGCTCAAACTGTTATTTAGAACTGCAGAGCTGGAACAAATTTAAGAGGGAGAAAGATTTGTGTTACTGCAGGGCGCATAGAACACTTACTTTGAGGACAGGCACACAGCCTTTTGCGAGTCGTTGTTTTAACTCCGGAGTAGAAATACGTTCACCGCCCACGCTGAAGTGAGTGTCCTAGTTTACAGGCCGATTTTTTTAATCATCGTTTTTCCTATAGGGAAGGCAGCAGTACTAGTCACTCAAAGGAAACCCGTCACTGCTGTAACAGCCGGTCCAGCATGCCGTATAACTTCACCTTGAGACCCCCATCATATTGTTTGATTTTACTATTCAACGGTAACTGCCACTATCCAGCTGACTTTTTGTTAAGGCAGGATCTCGACGGAACAAGCGTTTTAGCTAGGGTAGCTCGTTGGGTCATTGTAGTGTGCAAACCTGACCATCACTTCAAGGTAGCAGCTATCGGCTGTGGGCCTGACCACATATTTCTTATTTACTACCACCTCTTCTTTCGTTGTGGAATGTTGGGAGAATTAGGATTAAGTTGTGTACGGGTTAGAGTGGTCAGACTTTGACGTAGCACCAGTTCCTGAAGTCTCTGACTGTTGATGTAGTTCGTGTAGAGAGGTTTAGACTGTCTGGTTGGGGTCCTCGAAATCATTAAAATCAGTAGTTGGGGGTGCCTATTGGCATGGCTGAAAATGGGCCACGAAAGTGCTGCTTTATTCACTCTTTGACATCTTTCGAAGTTTGGCTATACACATGTCTACTTGGTATGACTCTTTTTCTTCACACTCGTTCTTTATATGCAGCCATATAGTGTAACAGCCTAAATCAATGCACTTTTCCTGAGGTTCTATGTTGATTGTGTCTGTTGTGTTACTTGAAGCAGATAGTTAATTTGTCAGTTAGTTCATGGTATCATAATAACTAAACAAAGTGTACTCAAATGAGTAGGTTTAATGTGGCTATTTTTCTTGCTTAACGGTATTATCTCATATTTAGAATGAAGTCATATAACCCATGTTTAAAGTATTGTCTAAATGACTACTTTATGTAACTACGAAATCTAGGCTCTGTTGTATTAAGCAAAATGACTGCTTAGTTTTCTGATTCTGAAAGAGATCACATTTATATCCGGATCGATGTTACTACGAGATTTCTGGTTTACATGCATCTTTTCATTAATACTGATCAACCTTTTCACTTGTCAAAATTTCGTTGAAAAGAGCAGTTTCTTCATGACTTCCTGAGCATTTACCAAACGGGAATAGATACTTTCAATATTGTTATCACTTAGCAACTTATTAACAGAGTGCTATACGGATTTTTTTGGAATCATTCACAGTAATCAACTAACGGAAATAGTCTATGCTTTGAATTCATTTTGATCTTGAGCATCTAACTTTTATCTGTTCCTCTTTCTCGATAACGGTTTTTTTTGACTGAATCTTGGTTCAGTTTATACAAAATTGTAATTTTGCCATCTGAGTTAGTTGGTTAATTTCTGTTTGTTTTCTGTCAAACACTTATACGTCAACACATTACATAACTTTTTCTGGCACTTTTGTTGCCACTCTTTTTTTCCTTTGAACTTTTGACTCGACTGTGACTTTTTGGTTTATCTTCTTGGCTTTGTTTGTGTCCTTATAGTCGTGACCTCGCTATACCACTTCGTAATTGATATCATAAAATTATATAAAAATTGTATCGTTTATCATGTTTGAGGTTGTAAGAAGTTGATGAGAAACCAATCAGGTTTAAAAAAGAAAAGAAACTGTTTCTAAAAACAATCTGCCACAGTTTTCAAGTTTTACTCTTATATCAATGAAACATTTTATGTTTGTGGACAAGTTTTTTTAGCATAGTGTAGCCGCCGGAAATCAAGTATAACGAAATCGGAAGCAAGACAGTTCCCAACTCTGTTTTGGCTGTTGCAGTTGTCAGTTAGCGTTTCATGGGCTGTTACATTCAAAAAGCGAGTATTGTAGAAATTATTTTTGACTAGATTTCAACGGTATACACATCTGACTTCGCCTGATATAGTAACTGTCTTTTGTGTTTAGTGTGCACTTTTGTTGCACCATGTTCTGCTTCTAAGCTTTTCAAAACTGGATGTATAAATACGTAAAACGTTTGGAACCATGGGAAGCTTGCATTAATTCAACTCCAATTATTAGTGCTTTTGCCGAAATTGTGTGAAGTCAGTTACATTTCTGTTTATGCCTACTTTTATCAAATTTTCCTGATTAACTTTTAAGTCTGCATTTAGGTATCCAGAAGAATTGATTTGTCGAACGCGAATCAAACTGAAAAGTAGCAAGCGCGTCTCACGAAATCAAGTTCTCAACGTCAGAAGCATCCTCTTACCGGTGTTCCTGAAATTCTAACTGACCGTTATATCCAACTTTTTACAGAACCCCTTCCAGAAAATGATGGTACGTTATTTTTACCTGAATACGGCAAAATATTTTACTGAGTTCTTAGGGTAGATTATTTTTCTTCGGCTATGAAATTTTAGTTTCATTATAGTTGAATTTTTGATTTGAATGGATACGGAAACGGGATGCACTCAGCTGCATTGTGCATATTCGTGAAGTAGTCAATGAGCCATACCTATTTTGTACGAGATGGTGATACTACGTAGTTGTTCAAACCTCGGTAGGTGGGACGGAGCTCGAACCCGTGATCCAGTGACTGGTGATCACTGAGCGACAGTTTCAGCTTTAGAGAGCTGTGAATACGGATTGCAGATATTGAATTCGGGTGTGTTATACCTGGAGTTCAGCGACTCGAAAACCTAATTATTTGGAGAGAAATGATCCGTAAAATGATACCATAAATATACAATGAGTTACCTCCAATCAACAGTGTTTTTGAATTTGGTGGTTATGAACACAGTCCATCGACAAATATCAACATGGGACCTGACACCACTACCTCCAGTCCAAATTACCACACTTCACACCAACACCACAAGATAAGAGGCACCAAGATGAACAATAAAGAAACGAGAGAAAGTATAGTCTAAAATTGTAGGAAGTCAATAGAGGAGAAGAAGATGTTTGGTATGACGATTAAGATTGGGATAATGTGTGAAAGCATATGCGCCATCGAAGTAGATTTTGAGTCATGTTGCTGAGAGTACCATAGGCCGTATGTCGTGGTAGCACCATGCGAGTAACGCAGAAATCAGTTGTAGAGTTTTAGGGAGAAGAGGTCATTGTGATATGTTAGCCTGACAGCCACTATAGTGTAGCAGCTAGTGGTTTGGTGGTGAAACCAACTTATTTAGGAAACGTGTCAAGTGTAGGTCACTTGGTTGGGTCCTAGGGACAATAAGAATCAGTGGTCGAAAACTCTTTGTAACAAGGTTGAAAATATGTTAGAATAACGCGAACGTATTCACTTTGTCGCATTCTAAGTAGTGAGTGTTTCCATCAACATACACTTTTTATGCGCTTAACTCTCATTTACTTGCGTCTACCTTAGTATCAAAAACATTACTTTTCTGATACAAATTTAAAACAAACAACAACATTTCTTGAGGTCCTAATGACAAGAAAAGAGGATGGGAGTGTATACAGAAAATATACACACTTTCTTAGCTTCGTGTCGATGACGTGAGAACGTAATATAATCAGGTGCCTAGCATTCACAGTAAGATGGATTTGTTCGAAGGAGTGTGAAAAAAGATCTAATGTGTATCCATGAAATTCGAGATGAAAACTGATGCGCTGAAAAGTTCACCAAAGCAAACAGTAATCCCAGATGAAAACTGATGACAGTGGATAAGCCTTTGTTTCTGTGCTCACAATTCAAGAGAGACCCTCCACATGACGTTTTATCCAGGTTGTCTTTGAATATCTTTCAGTAGTCGGTCAGTGCTCAATCCGAGATTAAAGGATAACCTAATTAATATTAGCTCCTCAGGGTGCATATATCAATTTAACTGTTTCAGTGGAACAATTTACATAAGATTTACAATTAAGTAGGTGCGTCTGCGGATACGAGAACATTTACCGGCTTGGTTTGGAAAAGGCGAAGTGAAATTGGTGAAAAGTTCTTAGTACACCTAGTAAACACAGCGTAACACACAGATGTGAACAGAACTTTGAATGTCATATATCGTGCACCAAAACAATACCACGTTTAGCTGGTCAACCTCCATTCAACATAGCTGAGACTGTCATAATAAGATTGATCAAACCTGAACTTTGGATCCAGAAAAAGCAGGTTTAAACGTTATTCCGTCTGTAACCTCCAATAAAATAAAGGCCACTTCTGTCTTCCTTATTTGTTGCTTTTGCTCTTACCATCACACTCTTCATCTGCATATATATCATATAAATATTAACTAATTTAAAATGAAAAATCGATTTCTGCGCATTTATGGAGGTTTCGCTCTTCTGGTTTTGCTACAGTGGTTTACTTTCTGTCAGAAGATTCCGCACTACGTTTACAGTATGCAAATGACTTAATCCTCGTAGTT